GGGGGACACGGGGCCGGGCTGAGAGGAGTCGGAGAACGCAGGCCCGGTCCTGACGCGGCTGAAGGGAGTACAGGCAAGGGCAACACTGCCGAAAAAGGAACGCTCCGAGGGAGAGTGAAGCGGCAGCTGTGCCCATTACCTCGGCTTCGATCTCCGCGATCTTGGCTAAGGTGCTGCTCATGGCGGCGAGTCACCGGGGGGCGTAGTGGCCTGCACACAGCCTACCTCCCCTCACACAGCCGCCTGCGGACCTGCTAAGGCCACCAGGCGTTACTGCAGCGCGCAAGCGCGGTACTTCCTACTTCTCGCGAGAGACTTCGCGCAAGGTTCACCGCGAGATGTACAGCTTGGAGTAATCTCCTCCCCTTCAATCAACCCCGCCCCGTCCCGCGAGCCAGCGCGGTGTCATAGAGCCCGCGGGAGCGGGGGCCAGAGAGGCCGACCTGGTCTGTACCTCCCCGAGCGCGCGGAGGGTCGCGCGCCGCTCGGCCCCGCCCCACCGGACCTGCGCCCACGTACTCTTCCGCGCCCGGCCCCCCGCGCATGGCGTGTGATAGTGGCTTCTGGTTACTGCCGGACAGAGCCGCAGCCCTCCGACCTTGGGCGTCAACGCCTGGTGTGAGTGAAAAGCTCACTCAAACCATCTACTTCTCTTCCTCACCAGCACCTACGGGTCCGGAGGCCCCTTTTCACAGCTGGGGACAGTCGCCGGCGAACCCCTCGGCCTCCTAGGTTGAATAGAGACTGATCTTCGGCCTGTCTCGCCCTCTTGGAAAAAGAAAATGCCCCCTTTCAGTCATTCAAAACTATATTTAGGTGTCTGTTTTGTCTGTCCCTAACCCCGAGTGCAGTGTGTGGCACATGGTGAACCTGCAATAAGTGCATGGTTGAATGGATAAATGTCAGTACCAGTGTTTGTAACATAGCTTGTAATACTGAAAACTATGAAACTATGTTAAAGGCCTATCAGTAGGGAAATGGATAAATAACGTAAAACACTATTTGAGCCATTAAAACATAGATCTGTGAGGTCTGACTGGAAAGATGTACGGGACATACTGTTTAAAAATGAATAAATAACCACCTACGTTGTGATCCCATTTATGTTATTTTTTTAATGAGGTGTTTATATAGGTATACGTGTATGAAAGTGCATTGTTTAAAGGTCTGAATAAAAGGATACAGTCTAGAGCTCCTAACAGTGGAATGGGATACAAGGAGAGAGGAAGAAAGACTTTAACTTGTTATTCTACATCTACATCTTTTGAATTTTTTAAAAAGATGAATGTTATGCATGTATTACTTGTGTAATAATAAAATTAAAAATTGCAAAAGACAATTCTCTTCCCTGAATGTCTTGTGCAGAGGAAGCCAGGACATCCAGGAGCTATGTGCTGGTTTTGAAAGCAGCTTCCTGTGGGATCAATGAATTCTTGTTGATAGATTGGTTGATCCGCTGGGAGTCCCTGGGCTAGGCTTAACCCACAAGGCTGGCCTCCACTCAGCCCTGGGAGGGAAGTTTATTTATATAAATTTGTAAGTAAGAACAAGTCCAACTTGCCAGAGACAGAAAAGGAGGTTTTATTAGGCATAAGGGAGGGGATGGGGAAAGGAAAGCTTTTACATTAGATCCCCAAAGGACCTAGTAGTTTCGTTGTTCTTTTTTTTTTAACCTCAGCCTTTTCATAAATAAATTAAGGGGTGATGAGGTAATTAGATCTTCTACCATTGGTAATGGAGGAGGGAAGAAGAGGAGAGGAAGTCCAGCTGGAATGGGATATGATGGTCAGTCTTAAAAGACAGATAAAATCAAATCAGCAGGTCTTTCCTAACTCAAAGTACTTAAGGAATTAATTGGCTGACAGTATCAAGGGCATCGCTGCTCTGTGAGTAGGTTCTCCTGCAACTAAGTTAACAATCTCATTGCTCAAGGACACCCCAGGACTCACCTGGGGGGCCCCAAGCTGTCAAAAGTGTGCCAAAAGGTAATATTCATCTTCCCCAGGGTTCTGGGTGGCCGTCTTACTCATTCCACTAATATTTACTGAGGTCTGACTGCTGCCTGGCACTGTACCAGAACTGGGGACAGAGCAAAGTGAATCAGACACTGTCTCTGCACTTAAGAAGTATCTAGGTTAGGAGGCCAAGGCCAGGCCTTTAAGCTCAGCTCCTAAGAGCCATAGCTAACTCAGGTCAGCTTGGTACTAACTGCAGTAGAGGACCTGTTTTGCCAGATGGCTAAACCACCAGTGCCTTGGCATTGTATTTCTTTTTTATTATTATTATTGAAAAAAAATGTTTTTAATGGTTTTATTTATTTTTGAGACAGAGAGAGACAGAGCATGAGCAGGGGAGGGGCAGAGAGAGGGGGAGACACAGAATCTGAAGCAGGCTCCAGGCTCTGAGCTGTCAGCCCAGAGCCCAACTCAGGGCTTGAACCACGAACTGTGAGATCAT